TGGACTGTGCTCCCTCATTTTTCAGTGTCTAAATGCAGGACCTCTTCTGGATAAAGCACATGGATTTAAATCCAGGCATGTAGCACCGCTCGACCAAATGGACTGAAAGCCGAGTACAGAAACACGGTACCAGAGCTTCCTCACAGACTGATGCAATGCAACCACCTCCTGCTTTGAGAAGGGAGGATGTCCAAGTTTACCTGTTGAAACTGTTTGTAGACTCCAGATTTTTAATTCTGATTGGTCTGTTGTATTTTTTCTGGTGAGACTGGTTTCTGACTGGGTGACAACACTGCACCCCACCACTGATGATATGTATTGTCCTGTGTCTGAACTCGTACAGACCCACATGCTTTTGGGACTCAGAGACTGCAGATGGTGACAAGAAGATTTGCTTGCGTAGACCTGTTGACAGTGGTGTTTCCTAGAGAACTGTCAGTTCTGTCCTTACTGTAGCAACAAGCTCACGATGTGCAATAGTAGAAGCAGACAACTGGAAGACTTTTTATCTGGGACCACACCAGCAGCCCCTGGCTTCTGACACACCAGAGGCCAAGGGTTGCACTTCCATGATGGTCCTTCCAAGGTGTTTGTCCTCCATCCTTGGGCCACACCTGCAACATGGCTGCGGCAGAGCTGTTCGTGTTGTGTTTGTCCTGCTGCTGGTACTTGCTGAGCAGAGCTCTTCCCACAGCCAAACTTCAGGGCTTTTGTAGACCTTTGTGTTGCCTCTGGCCCTTCCTTGCCCCTGTGCTAAAGCTGCAGTGCTGTGCTGCACAAGGTGCAGCTTTAGGACAAGTTTTCTGTTGCACGTAGGGAGCGCTGGGTGAATCTCGAACTTAGTTGTCAGCTGTGTTAAAATTAATCATGTGGCAATAATTCGTGGATTAGAACATTGATTCTGGTCTTGGTTTCCATCTCAGCGTTGTATCAGACTCTGGTTGGTGGTTTAATCCTTTTCTTTTGCAAATCTTGTTTGCTGGATACTCCTTCCCTAGTAATTGTTTTCTACTGCACTCCCAACTCTGGGACCTCTCTGAGAGCTCGGTGTTCACGTTAAACTTGAAGTGCTCTCTGGCTCAGCTCTGGAAGATGGAACAAACATGCCACCCTGCCTCTGGCTGATGTGACACACAGGAAAAACCCCCTTCCTTAAAAAATTCCCACAGGCGATCTGGAAATCCACTCTAGTGGCATCCTGTGGGCAGGGAAAAAGGAGTAGCACCATTTGCTGAGGTACTGCCCCCTGCTCTGGGGGCAGCTGCCTCTGGGCCTAATTTACTGCACAATTCAGGTTATGGCCTTTTTTCCCCCTCTTAACTAAAAGGAGGAAAAACTTGATAGGATCTTGACCAAAGTTCAAAAACAAAGGCCTTTGCTCACGTTTCAGCAACACTTGGCTACAGGAACTGCATTTTTAACACTGAAGTGTAAAAGGAGTTTAGATGCTGTTTCAGATATTATTTCAGTTATGAACTGGTGCCTTTGGGGGTTTCTACATCTGGCTCAGTACTTAAACCATTAAAAGTCAGTGACATTACTTTCCTCAAAGTAAGATGTTTTTTTAAAAATAAGTCTTGCTGCTACCTGAATTGGAGGGTGTGTGTGCTCATTGTGCAGGGATGGAAAGCAGAACATGACCTGGCACTGCAGCCCAGGCTCCAGTGTCAGGTGCAAGAGCTCAGTTAACATTTGCATTTGTCTTTTGAGTGGTGTCTTCCCCTGTTTCTGCAGGCAGGTTGGTGGAGCAGAGCTCTGGCTGTGCATCCCCTGAAGAGCAGCTGTGTCCAGGTGTGTCCATGGGCTCAGTCTTGTGTTCGTTTGCTTCCAAAAGCTGCTGGATATGGAGCTGCTCCTTCATCCATAGAAATGTGGACCAACAGACTGTCCTTGCCCTTCTGTCCTCGTGCTGTGCCTCTGCAGTGGGGCAGCCGTGGGGTTTTGCACACACAGACGTGGCCCAGTTCTGACAGTGCAGCTCTGCCCTGTCTCCAAGGGGGAGCACAGAGTGGAAGGAAAAATAAGAATAATAAATTGTGTTGGAAAAAATTAAACCTTACCATAGGCACGGTAGCAAGTCAGATCTTTTAGCTGTGGCAAAGACTGAGATGAGACACCTGAATTCTTCAGTGTATGCATTTATCAGCGAAGCCAAGGAAGGTAAATAATTAGGATGTTGTATTCATTAGCATGTCAAATACATGTACAAACATACAATTGTAAACATTTTACGTGAGGAAAGTTGCCCCTAAAAGAACGGGGAAGAATTTTACTGCAGATCAGACTTGAATCAACATCAGTTCTGGTGACCCTGCTGTTATGTGGATTATGGAGCAAGGAAGTCACACACCTTTCCCTTGGTGCTCAGGTCTAGAGCAGAGCCCTTCTGCAGCACTGTCAGAACAAAGACATTTTTGATGATGCTCCAGTTAAGAAATATTAAAATACACAAACGCTGTAAAAGGTCAGAGATTGTGACACAGAAATAAAGACCTAAAATGAGTTAAAAGTAAACATTAGGGGAGAGCACAGACATCAACATACTAATGCCTTCATAACAAAGTGGCTCATGGTATCCAAGGAAGGAATTTTGATCAGAATTCCTACTCCAGGAGGCATTCCTGTGTCTTGGGAGACACTTGATGTATTTAACAGCTGGATATCAGACACCTGATGTTAAAGATGCAAGTTCCTGCCCTTGTTTGCGTTAATGCCTTTGCTGTCTGTAGGTGTTGGAGTGTCTTAGGGATCATCCATTCCTCCTGGCTACTCTGATTTTGAAGTTTCAGCTGCTTAGAAATCTTTCCTTTCCCTCTCACCTCCCCATCAGAAAATCAAGATCTCTGCTTTTTAATTCTCAGAATAACCTCTAAGGGAGGATTATGACACTTGGTTTGAATTTTATTTTAAAATATTAAATTTTGCAATATGCAAGGAATTTATTTTTGTTTGTAATGTACTTAAAATTATCTATTTGGGAGTACAGCAGTATGTTCCTGTAATCCCTTTTGGTTGATGGATGTAAAAGTTTAATTTAAATTTACAGTTCAAATGAACACATTGTAGAACATAAACCAATCAGGAGGTTTGCTTTGCTGTTACAAACTGTAGTTCAGCTCCCTTTGCAGCACTGTAACATTTCAAATGTCCTTAAAGACTTTCTTTCTGATGCCTTAACTTATTTGCATTTGAGAAAATTCTGTAGCTGGTGCCTGTGTGCAGAACTTAACTCACATTAAACAACTGAAGTGGCATGAGCTAGTCTAAATCCAATGAAAATGCTGAATGTGATGATTTGTTAGTTGTTAATAGATTTCAGAATGCTCTGAATTTTTCAGTGGATACTTAAGTTTTACATAACTTGTCATGTAACAATGTTTTCATTAGTTCTCATACACTGAGGATGTGTACAAAAATCCATGGAAAATGTGAATAAAATGAATGGGAGATTCATTTGTCTTGTGTCAATCACTGTCATTTTGAGTGCATAACACTTTTAATAAAAGGAATTGTACCTCCAGTTGCTTGCAGGTGAACTCCTGCCTGGAAAACCGTGCTGCTGAAAGAAGGAATATCCTGCCCTGGCCTTTCCTCATTCAAACCTGGAGCCAGTTAAGCCAGTTTGTATCAACAAAGAACGTCATCTCTACCCAAACTGCCCAGGACCTTTTGAATAAAGAAACAGAAGCAGAATTTACATGGTTTGAAGTAGTCATCAATAACTTACCCACGTTTTTGGTAGGTTTGTGCACTGTTCATTTTTTAAGGCATTGTTTAGAAATTCTTATTTGCACCTGAGCATCCTGAACATAATTAGTTTGGTGGGGATTACTGTAAGGGACATCTTAACCTTTGCTGAGAGGTGACACTGAAAAGACTCATGTCTGGAAGTCTGCAAAGGCTTCAAAGATATGACAGAATTTTCCTGTAGTACCCCTGAGGAAAAAGTGTGACTTTGCTTTACTACCTCAGAGCACAGATGACATAAAGCAGTACAAAGTCTTTTGTCTAAACTAGTTCTGGAGCTCTACCTGAACTGGTGGGCGCTTGGGGCAATTCTGTTCATTGCAATTCCAGAGAAAACTTGCAGGTGGTTTCTCCCTTGTAAAAAACAAATTCCTAACTCTGAAGAGAAAATGGTGGATTACATACCAAACTTAATTAATCTGGCAGTTAATGAAATCTCTGTTTTCTTACCTTTGCAGTGAGGTCAGAAATGACTCCTGTGACCAACCACCTGTGCTGTGCAGGGTACCGTGGACATCCATAGCAGGGAGCACGGCATTCCAAATTCATGCCGAGATGAAAGCCTGGACAGTAACTCCTCCTGCTCCTTGATGCAACTTCCATCACTGTCATTTTCCAAGGAAAACCCAGTCTGACACTTGCAGTGATGAAAGAAGGTTCTGACCACCCTCTCGTCCTTCAGGAGCAAAGCAAAGCAAAGCCTCCACACTGGGTGCACGATAAAGGCATTCGCTGCTTCCAGTAGGGGTTGGATGAACACAGTGGCTGCATCCCAATTACAGGCTGAGTGCAGGACTTGGGAAAGTCTGTAAACTGCTCCTGCTGAATCTCCCCAGCAGGAAAAGCAGAACCACAAACATGACCACACTTCAATGTCCGGGGGAGATGGAAGGGGACAGAGCAGGGGTGAGTCAGCACACACTGAAATGCTCAGTGCACACAATCCAAGGCAGTGCAGAGAGAAAGGCTGAGCTCAGTTTTGTGACATTGCACAAACCCTCACTGAAGTTCTTCCTGAATTAATCAGGAAGAAACCATGACAGCCATCAGTCCTCACTATCATGCACTGCACAAACTTAAATGTTAATGACTATGCAATTAAACATGGGTCAATTTAAAAGGGTTGTTCTAAAGGCAAAAAGCTTTTCCAAACAAATTCAGGACCACACTGACTCTTACCTTCTTCTCCCTTACCCAACGTCAAGTTGTCAGAGACTGACCGCTGAGAAAAAACACGATTAACAGAGTCCACAGTCGTTTAAGAGGTCTGTTTATTGGCTGCAGGGTCCAACACTTTCTTCACTGCTGCCATATGCAAAGTCACCTCTGTTTTTGGTGCACAACGTTCTCCTTGCTCTTTGTTCACAGGGCTCAGTACAATGCCAGCATGATTGCCAACCCATCACTTTAAAGCAACACTGATGAACCGATGGCGCAAATAAAACCCAAACCATGCAACGTGTGTTAGGTTGAGAAAATGAGGCTGAGAATATTTATATATTTACACAGAGAACGTTCAACATTGCAACCCGCTCACAGACTTGTGTTACCCCGACCAGGTATCCCAACAGCTACATTCTGGTGTAAAATACTCCTTCCTTAAGGTTTGGTGTAAAAGCTACTTATTCCACAACACCTTTAACTGGATTCTACCGCACCTACTTGTGACATAGAATTCCTACACACCAGCACCACACACTGCCAGGCACACCCCACAGGACACGGTAAGGCATTCACAGACCTCTGACTGCTGGGACCACAGCAGATCCATTTTCCAGAGCTTTCAGCTGTTGACCTTTGGAAACCATAAGAGCCTTTCAAACACAGAGGGCGAGTCCCTAAGAGACGGATGGTTCTTCCAAGAACCTTAAACTTGTCATTCCTCGACACTGCTACACACAACACAGACAGAATTTAATACATTAATGTTCCTAAATAAAAACTTGTTCTTAAACCCCACTGGGTAACAACAGGGCTTAGGCACTTCTGAAGGTTTTGTCTTACATCTGTCTTTAATATGGGGAAGTTTCAGACTAGAAAATACAGGACAAGCAATCATCTGGAAATGGAATAATTAAGGATTGGCAAAAAGCAGGTCAATAGTCTAAGAGCACAGACTATTTCTCTGGACTCCACATCCACACAGAACTTCAGTGACCACATGGGATTCTGCACATGAGGGTCTGCTGGAAGAAATTTCCCTGCAGAGTCAAGGACTTCACTGTCTAAATTAAAACCTGTGTAAGAACATACTTTGGGAAAACCACTTCACTGTGAAAAGCCACCTGTGCAAACAAATCTCTTTTCTGGAGAGCACACCATGCCCAGAAATGGAAAACTGAGTGACAGCGACCCAGAGCCCAACACACCCAGGCCTTGTAAACAATGAAGACCAGGAAAAGGGAAGGAGAAGGAGCAGGGACCACACGAACCAGGTTAGCCCAGACAGGTGAAAGACTTGTGGTGCTTCTAAAAACAGCTTCTTTTAGGAGGAGACTTGGAATCCACCCTGTGCTGGCTGGCAATCTGAGAACACAACTTCACACACGTGGTGTCTCTAAGGCAGAGCAATAATCTGCTAATACAAAATAGATTTAAGAGATTTCTAAAAGAAAAAAAGAAAAAGAAAAAAAGGTTTTGTACTTGTTAAATTAACAGCAGTGAAAAGCCTGCTAAGGGTGAGAAGATTCACATCCTTGCATTTGACACCTAACAATACACAACATCCATGAAAGGCTCAAGCCTCCATCTCCAGAGGGAGTGAATGGGTGGAAGGATGGGAGGAGTTAACTGAGCAAGGAGGTGTGGTGGGATTCTGTAAATAAATAAAGCTGTTCTGCAAAGCTTCCCAAGTGTGTTAAGCATGCTGTATCCTCAAACACCACCATAACCAGCGGAACCCACTGTGCTCCAACAGTTCAGAGCCAAAGAGCCTTCACAGCCTACAGGACACACCAGCTCCATCCCCAGCAGTTATTTAAATGGCCAACAGAGGCTTAAAATGTTTTTACTGCTTTGGAGCCACAGAATTAAATACCACCCTCCAAATTAATGGGGTGAGAGGTTCCTATTAACATTCCCTTTTCTTTTCTGGTGTAGTGCAATAGCATGCTAAGGGGCCAGCTGTGCCATCCTGACCCAAGCAAAATTTTGATGAACTTCCCTGTCAGTCTGTCCACACAAGGACAATAAATTATAACTTTCAGGGTTGTTTAAAAGCAGAACAAAACGTGGAATTTGATAACAGAAAGTGGGAACCATGGGCTATACATAAGAAGTCCAAGTCAGTTGTTTAGAGAAGGAATAGCTGAGAATCTGGCACATCTTTGTTTCTGAAAAGCACTATTGACATTCAGTAGACTTTTTGACCTCTATTTTCCATGGATGGCCATGAGGGCCGTACCTGTAGTCCTTTTCCACTAGAAAAGGTGAGTCTTCCACGTACCTATAGCATATCCCACTAGCAAGATACAAGAAATAAACTCATTTTTTTAGGACATTGCAGCCCTTCAAACACTAGACACCAAAATGCACCCACGCACATGTAACAAAGCAGACGATACCTCCCGCCTGACAGGTGTGGGATCTGAGCTGCACCTTCAGTAACTCTGCCCTTACACTAATGCACTGGCTCAGAATCACTCTGAGATTTGCTGAATCACTCCTCATCTGCTCTGAGATCTTACACAGCAAGATTCACTCAGTCTTTCAAATCACACAAAACGCAGCTACCTAAACACAATACACAACACCAAGAGAGCATTACAAACTCCTGTCGACTGAGAAGTGTTCAGGCACCTACCACTGGAGTTCCTGCCTGGATACATTTCCTTTTCTCATGTGTTATTCCTCTGGCTGGCTGACTGAAAGGTAGCAGTTGTCATTAGGAGAACAAACATGAACTGTCTCTCCCTTCCCTCCCCAGGGAATATCTGAAGGAAAACCAAGCACTGGTTTGCCCAGTCCAGCAGTATGAAAGTGCAGAATGAGGAGCACATTGAGAGGCTTGTTTTCTAGTTGAGGAGTGCTTTAATTCCCAGCCTGGGCCAAGGGAGAACATTTGTCCAAACTGACATCAGGCACTGACTACCTGGGGATCTCAGGTAAGCACCAGGCAAGGTCCTTGAGGGCCCTTCAGCTGCTGAGTGAGGACTCCACCTCTGCCCTGGCTGAGGGACAAAGCCTGGGGCAGTCAGGTTGGTGGGAACACCCTCACGTGCACACTCACACAACCACGTGGTCCACAGGCACCGGCCCAGGCTGCAGTGAAAAGTGGCTGTGCTGGCAATAACAAAGTGAACATTTCCTAATGCTGCTGCAACACATTTGAAGCCAACTAGAACTGGTCAGCTGTCCCTGTCATACACTCATGCTGCCGGTGTAAGAACTGCTGCCACTCCCAGGCCTGGCCTCAAACACAGACAGACCTCCTTACCATGCTGGAGTCACCATGGTGGGCTGAATGGTAAATTTAGTCTGCCTTTATGCTGAAGTGGAGCTATTTCCATGGCATCTAGCCTGAGGGAAAAAAAGCAGAAAGTCCTGTTTGAGAGGTCAAGTCATTGGATGCTACTGAGAGAACAACAGCAAAGCACTTGGGCAAGGCCAGGTGTGAGGGAGACACAGGTCCAGGCTCAGAGCAAGTGCCATTTGGTAACTGCAGCAACAGCATCAGGTTTGGGTGCTCAGAGTCTGAAAAGTGACAAAAATGGCATCTTTGCTCTCCCTCTGTGCGTGTGGGGAGTCTGACGTGCCCCAAGACACGTCAGTCCTCCTTCTGCTATGCCAGCTGTGCAGTCCTAAATAAACTCAAGTATGGACTGGCTCCCAAACCAAAAGAGTGAGCCAGAGCACAGTAGTCTCAGTATTTAATCATTTTGTTTTTACATCCAGGGCAGCAGGGTTTTGCTGTTTAGAGAGAGCTGCACTTCATGTGTAAACATAAGGCTGTTTTCCTGAGAGCTCCTGACACACCACTTTGAGACCTCCCATTATGCAATTTTTAGTCACTTTTCAGAACAGAACTACATTTCCATCTTTTGTATTTACAGAAAACTCTCTGTGCTTCAGTATGCAACAACCAGGAGATGGAGGATCCGGGCAAACTGCCCGACCATTAATCAGCTCTCATGCCCTCCTTGGCTGCAAATGGCACCACAAGGACGCCTCTACATACTCTCAAGTCCAGTGCATGCAGGAGGATGTTGGTTACTGGTAAGGTTTTAGGCCCTGGAGTCCGATCATGGCCCCCTGTTTTTCCACTTTAGACTCAAACTGGCATTGACTCAGCTGAGAGAGAGATAAGCAGCATTAGTACTGGAGATGAACCTCGGCTTTACTATAGCAGCACATTTTAGCCTTCTTTTCCCTGGCTTATTTTCTTAGCCAGCTCTTGAGGATGAAAATGTTGCTGTTCTTTGGTAGATACGGAAATCTGCCGGCAGAGTTCACCTGTCCTAACACTGACACATGAAAATAGGAACATTTTCAGCCTCTTTTAAGCCCTGACTTGACCTGCTGCGTGTACCAAAATGGCAATGTATCTTTGTAGGCTCTTTTTCCCTCAGCAGGACGTGACTCTCTCATCCCTTCACCCCCCCCACGCACACGCACGAAGCCATTCCCACGAGGAGAGCGCATGGCCAGAGTCTGTGGAACTGTGTCCATTAGCAAGTCAGTAGGAAATTCCCAGAATGTTTCTCTCAAAGAGTATAAAGTTTAGCACATTCTGTACATATGGTTGGTTTTCTCAGTTATAAAGTAAACACGGTAGCAAACTGTCCATAAAGTGTTGACTCGGTTTAAACGCAGCCCCTTCTCGTTTTATCTTGCTGAGAGTCCTCTCCCAGTCAGAAACGCTCCAGCGACGTGGGCATTCGGTGTGTGACAGCAGAGGAAGGAAGAAAGAGGCACTTTTGATCGGCTGGTATTCCTGGACTTCCCTTTTTCCCGCGGAGGTTTCGTTCCGACACTAGGTGGTAGTGCTAGCACGGGAACCCGCTGTGCGTAGGCACTTGGCAACTCGGCTCCAGGCACGGCCCCTCCGCTATGTCATCAGGATCGGCTTCTGCCGCACTTCCAGGATATCTGCGCGAGGGACACAAACACACGGCAAGCTCAGGATGCTCCTGGAAGCAGCCACAGCCCCGGGAAGCAGGCAGAGCTGGGGATGCACCTGTGGACTGCAGCACGGCCCACCAGGAATCCAAAGTGTCTGAGTTCACCGGGGCGCAGCTGGGAGGGACTGAGAGATGGGAAACTGCAAATCCAGCCCAGCACGTGGAGGGGACAGCTGATCTACCAGCGTTTATACTGGGATGAAGCAACACCTGTCAGACACGGGAGGGCAGGATCTTCCAGGGAAACAAGTGTAAGTGCCAGTAACCAGAGATGCCAAGGGGCTTTCCCTTTCTTGAAGGGAACATCCCCGAGCCCCTTAGAGAGACTTCTGGATCTGAAGATGTGGGGACGAGTAATTCAACTGGTTCATCCTTTCTACAGCCCAAAGCCTACATTTCTGCACTCAAAAAGCTGCCATAAAAGCCACTCCTCTTTTTGGCTCCTCAGCTCCATATTGTCCAAATGTGACAGAATATGAACCTGTAAAATTTCTGTCATGATCAAGGGCATCTTTCTAAATATGACAGTAAAACCAACATGTTGGCAAGGCAGGACACTGGAAAAATTGGAAACTGGGCTGCTATGTCCTTTGGAAGGGAGAATGGAGCACACAATCAAGAGGTTGATCAAACACAACTGCATAAAGAGGATGACATGAGTAAAAATTGATCTGCAGCTCCAGAGGGCTCCAGCCACACTTATAAAGAATTAAACACAGTGGAGGGAGTCCAGTGAAGGGCCACAGAGATGATGATGGGACTGGATCACCTGACACACGAGGAGCAGCTGACAGAAGTGGGACTATCTAGCACAGAGAGAAATCTTATCAATATGTATAAACTCAAGACATTTTAAAATGTACTGTGAGCACTGTCACTGGGATTTTAATATCTCTCTTAATGGCCTCTCCCAGGGAGGTGAGCACCTTTCCCACTTCACCCTGCCCCACGTGTAATGCTCCAGCTCCCCGGAAAGCTGCCACTGGCACAAGTGCATTGATCACAACAAGGCCTTGGAAACTGGCTCTATCTGACGTGTGAAACTAAAACAAATGTGGGTTGTGAAAAACTGCAGAGGAAAATTCTGCCCTGGAGCCCAGACATTTCACGTCCTATTTCTGTGCATCTCAATATACACTCCAACTCCTGCAACCGTATGTTCAACGAATGAAGTCTCAGAGAGGATGTTCAAGCTCAAAGCAAATATTTGAGCAGGGAGCATTTGTGCCACCCACTTGAGCAACTATGAAATGCCAGCAGGAACAATACATCTTCTGTGAACTCCAAAAGGCCTGTGGTGGGAGAGCAAGGGAGCTTGGTAACTCCAGCTAACTTGCTCTAAGATTATCAAGACAATTATCATAAGTAATAATTATTTTGCTGAAACACTGTTCAAAGTCCATCCTTAATTAGAGAGGAGCAATTTTTACTGGAATTTGTCATTTCTTCTAAACTGAAATCAACCCCTGCATACAGTGGGATTGCAGAGAAAAACTTGTTCCTCTGACTTAGCAGCAAAATCCCCCAACACAGAAGGCTGTCTAGGAACCAAAGGACTCTGTTTTTGCACAATACGTGCCAAAATTCACCTGTTAAAATTCGATGCAATGGCAAAGTGATGTAAGTTAAGTGTGCATAGAGTAGAAAGTTTTCATCTGTCCTGTTCAGCTTCAGCCAGGAGCCCACCAGCGAACGCCCTGTCCCCGACAGGGACCGCGACCGCAGGTTGGTCGCGTTGTGCAGATCTGCAAAGGCACAGAGAGACAAAGAGCATCAAGGGATTGCACTTCTTGCACTTCACTGCAACACTTCTGAAAGTCAAAAAAACAGGAAGGCCTCCTACTCATGGTGCAGAGACAAACCACGTGCAGGACGTGACTATTACGGTTTTTTAGATCAATCAGACCTTGCCCGGCACAGAATTCACCATTTACACTGAAGCCAATAAATGGCAGCAGCTGCAAACAGCCTCCTGCTGACAGAGCAGCCAGGACAGGGGATGAGCCCTCTGCTACCACACTGCACAAGCAACACCCTGAGCCAGTCCTCCCTCACACACAAAATCACAGAACATCCCTAAAATTAAGCAGTTACTCATGCAGAGATCCACCAGAGTAACAGAAGAGAAATTGTTTGTTTTGAAGAAAACTGACAGGTATCTAACATGCAGGAGGAGAGTCAGCATTAATGCCCCAGCTTCCTGCACTCCTGGGACCCTTCAGCAGAGCCACTCTTCTCATAACTACTTCAGATAACCACAAGTAACTTTTTAAAACAAAAGGATACTGAGCCCCCTGTAAGTCAGACATGGCTTTTACAACTGCAGGTCTCTTCCCCAGCCATATGCTGCATTTTTGGACTCTTTGTAAACCTCTTCTCCAGTGCCCTGTGACACACAGCCCTGTCCCACAGTGCTAGAAGCAGATGTTGAAGTCAACATATGAATTTTGGATCAGAGTGATCCAAGCTCTGGGACTGAAAGCAGGTTCTGATCCAAACAAAAAGAACACATGGTGGCAGCTACTCTAGATAACATGGGTTAAAACACAGCTTTTGATTAGGCAAATTAGGGAAAAAGAGGGAAGGTTTTTATTGACAGAACCCTAAATTAGCTACAACCAGTTTAAGTTGCACAGAATCTGCATTAAACATTATCACTTCAGCTTGTTTTTTAATGTGCAATTCTTTATTAGCTAAGCTGGTCCAGTCCTGCTGATGGGCTCTTTGCTACTATTACAAGCAGAACTCATGACCTGAAAATCACCTTTGTGTTTATCTGTTAGCATGCCAACAGACAGATTTATTGACTGAATTGTTTTTAAACATATGAAAAGCAGTTTGGACGTTGACATTTGTGAATTTCCTGCCTCACAAAACTGCGATGTGATTGGATTTATACTACAAAATTATATTCTGAGTCAGGCTCCATTTTTTTAATCTTGCTGGTTGTTTCCTGTTGAGTAACTAAAATTCAAAGGAAGAGTTCCACAAGGCATTACATTGTAACACAGATGAAATCATGAGGTTTTCTCTTTGTAGAGGTCAGAACTGGTTCAAAGCCAACTGAAGTAAACATTTTTTTCACCAACTTTAACCAGTTCTGGATCAAGCAGCTCTGCTGCTTACTCTCTCATGCTCTAGGGAGTCTGGATTTCAATCTTCTGTCCCACAGGGTGAAAATCAGGGAATTCAGAGAACTTGCAGCTGAGAGTGTGCCCTACCCCACAATACCTGGAAGAGTGTGGCACCTGGGAAAGGAGGGGGGGTCTCTGCTGCTCAAGTTTCTCTCAAATGGACCAATATAAAAGGGAGAGATAAGGTTTAAAAATATTTAGGAATTGTGGGCTCTAACCTTCAAAAAGATGCTTAAGCCTGTGAAAACTCCACTTTCAGAGAGGCACTGGCTCTTGTGTGGAGCTCTCCTTTATCCACCCTGCAAACCTTTTCGGGAACCCAGCGCTGGGATCCCCTCCCACAGCGCTGTGCCCTGGCCAGCCCAGCCTGTACAGCTGGCAGGACGTCCCTCACCTCCACCATCATCGTCTCTGAAGAATTCCTCGCTGTCGTTTGCCGAGTGGGACTTTTTCATCTCGGCAATTCTGTTCCGGGGCACTTTCCTCTTGAGGGACGGCGAGAAGAAGGACGGGCGGTTGTTGCGTTCTGGAGTCGGGGGGGTGCTGAAAGAGGTGACCTGAGAGGGAAGGAGAAACAAAGGTTTGCTTTTCCCTCTGTGAGCCCTGAGGCAGCCACAGGTGTAAAAATCCAAGTGTCACCTGAACAGTCATCTCAGCTTCAAGACGCCCATCAAGAGGAAAAATATTTTGATGTATCATCTCCCTCAGCTGTCACGCGAGTAATGACCGCTTTTCCCAAGGATTTATAGTCATAAAGGAACAAAATCAATTTTTAGGCACCAAGAACATCAATCTTACTTCTGCATGTTGAAATTCAGGAGACTTATTATGCTAAGAATTACTGTATTGGACACTCAAATGGTGCACCTTCATTTCTTTGGCAAGCACAAGGCAGTAGTTTCCCTGCTGTCCCACGGCATCCCTGTGGAAGGTCACAGTGTCCCCAGGGAGCAGGGTCATGAGGCCATTATTGCACCCAACATGCTGAGGCAGAAGCACAGTCAATCTACAATCATGTGTCCTGTTTCTATATAGGATTGGAGAAACCCAAGCTGAGATGCCCCAGTTGATTTGATTAGTCCAAGTGATGGCAAACACAAGGATAGAAGTGTCTGTGGTGAAATACAGGGACAAAACTATCAAGAAACCCTTCCTTCAGAGCAGAAGTTGCCCTTGAATAATCCACAATTAAGGCCGAGCACATCTATTTTGGAGAGAGCCGAAATGCAGGGCTGATGTACTGGCTTTGACAGCAATATTTTAATAGTTTCATTCCAAATGGAAAGACAAAATAGAGATAGCTACTTTGCTAAATCCAATTTGATGTTTTCCAGTTGACACCAGAAGCCTTGGAGACAAGAGATCATATCACCTCTCCAGGCCTGATTCCTCCAGCCTGTATTTTTGTGGTAGAGAACAGGGGCCAAATCAGCATCTATGGTCTGATTCTATTGGCATTTTACTGCACTTGCACTAAAATTAAGCATATGTATGAATATGATACTGCATCCAGATCCATAATGTCTATAGGCTTCATACTGGCAGCATTCCTCGGTGGCAAAATCTAACAGTACCATTTCCTGGGAGGTTTAGCAAGGAACCTACATAACACACATATTCCATGTTTTCAGGTGAATCCCATCTCTTACAGAAATGGAATCTATTATTTTCATGGAAAACAGGCAGAATCAGTTTCCCTGGCATCAAGATTGCTGTTGTTTCAACAAAGCACTCCTCCAGAAGCATGAATCATCCAGTCATCTCTGTATCTAAGTACTTGCTCAGGAGAAACTGTGCTAAAAATCCATCTCATGTACCGAGTGTGTTCAAAATACACCCTGGCAAACCTCAGTTCAGAACCTCGATGTGAGTTTGGCCTGGCTTCAGCCCCTCTGCTGGCCTTGGAACGGAGCGTGTTCATGCTTCACCTCAAGTCAGCATTTCTGTCTGCTGCTTACCCTCTCATGCACTGGGGAGTCTGGATTTGAATCCTCTTCTGTCCCATAGGGGGAAGTGTCCCCCGTGGAGACTCTGCTCACGGCCATCTCCGCGTGCCCCTTCCCCTGCGGCCCCTTCATCCGCACAAACTCCATGTTGTTGTATTTATAGAAGCCAAAGGACATTCTCTGGGCCATCTTCGCTGCAACACTCACCTACAACACACCAGGACAGAACAGAAAAACATGCAACAGCAGCCCTGCAACTTGAAAATAGCCATCTCTGGAAGAATTATCTGAGAACAAGTCAAAACCATAGTGGATAGCAATTCTTAAGAAGCATTTAAGCCTAAAATCTAAAGTGATTTTACAGAGCCAAACACAGGCTCTGAGAAGAACCAACTCCTTCAGCTGTGCAAAAGGCAGAGTTACCAATGGCACACTGAGACAAACCAGGTTTTTATCCAGACCCACACACTGAGCACAAGCAGGGAGGGACGTGCACATCTCACTGCAGCCTGTGCTGGGACACCTGTTTGAGTCCAAAAAGCAACAGACACACATGAGATGCCTTGAACCAGCAAAGCAAAGGGCACAGCTCTGGCACTACCTTATGGCAAGTCACTTCAGACAGTTTTGTGTCCACACTGTCAAGGCCAAAGCACAAAGAAGCATTCCCATGCACAGCTAACCTTCAGCACCTTCAAACCCCCTCAACTGGCCCAAGGGCTCAACTTCCAGTTAACACAACTGAACTGGAAACTGAACTGAGAACTGGAAAAAGGAACAGACCAATATGAAAACAGTCAAGGTTTGGCCTAGTGAAGTAAGTCGGACTTATCTGACAGTTTAAGCAGTTTACAGCAAGTTCCAGCAGCTTATGAAAGGCTGAGATGCTCGTTATGGAGCACAGCTCATTTTATACTGAGAATTACAGAACTGTAGAATAGTTTAGATTAGAAAACACCTTTAAGATCAATCCAACCCCTGACCAAACACAATCAAGCCCACCACTGAATTACGTCCTTAAGTGTCACATCCACGTCTGTAAATCCCTCCAGGGCTGGAGACTCCACCACTTCCCTGGGCAGCTGTGCCAGGGCTGGACAGCTGTTTTGGTGAAGAAATTTTTCCTAATATGCAATCTAAACCTCCCCTGAAACAACTGAAATCAAGTAACCTTCAAAAGCATAGAGAGGTTACTTCTGTAAAGTTCTGTAAAAAGAATGGTCCAATTTCAAGTTTTGCCTGTGGTTGTAGTGGAGTATTTGAAGTATTTTACTCCATCTAACAAAACAGTGTTGAGCAGCTGTGCTGTCAGTCAGGACATTCCTGGGCTACGAGGTGGTTTTGCTACCTCAAATCTTGTCTTTCCACGGCAGGGCTTCCTTCTTCTGTTGTCTTCAGTGATTCTGCATTCCTATGGATTTTAATAACACACCTGCTGATTGTGTGAGGTCACAAGGTGACAGGGGGAAAGAAATAATTTTTATGTTCTCTCAAACTGCTAGAGGAGTTTAACTTCTCACATTTAAAAGAGGACAAGGGAAATTATTCAGGATCTCTCCTGACAAGGGTAGAAACAAAGGGAAATGAATTTTACAGTCACAGTAGATATTGTGGGAAATTTTTTGTTTCTGGAAGATCTCTCAGGATTGTCTTCATAACAAACCATTTGAGAAGTTTATTGACTCTTGATTTCATCACTAAGTACTGCATTTGAAGCTAAAAGTGCTGGCAGCATTTCATGTTTCTGTAGGAAAGCAAAGAAAGGTACTTTCTGTGGCAGTGAGACCACAGTGGTCTTCTGAAAACAGCCATGAGCACAAAACAGAACGGAGAAAAACACACTTTACATAGAGCAAGATAGTTACCAGAGTTTCAGATCTGCCAGGAAATCATACCTTCTCTGAAGAGACCAGAAATGTCTATGACCCTTCAAGAAAATGAAGGGGCTCCCAGAAAACTGTTGTTCAGGCCCATTCCTGTGTCATGCTCTTGGTTACTGATCACCTTCACTCCTTTTGGAGTCTGAGTCAAAAGCAGTAGCTTTCAGGTAACTTTCAAAGCCAGAAAAAGGACTGATACAGCTGATCTAACAGGACAAAAAGCTGACAGCCTCAGCCACAAAGACAATCTGGTCAGAGCACCATTGCTGCAAAGGGCAGTGTCCTTCAGAAGCTCCTTACCCTGTTGTCATAGACCTTCTTGAGTGCTTCATAGCGGATGGACCCCTGGAAAATCACCCCTTGGAAGGTGTTGCTTTTGTCACTGGCCACCAGCTCCACACAGACCATCTCTCCTTCTCCCACGGTCATGTCACTGAAAACCTGCCAGAGATCCAAGGTGAAACACTTGGAGGCAAACTGCATTAGTTCAAATGGAAATACATTCAGATTCCCAGGGCTGTCCTCAGGCCCAGGGCAGTTGCAATAAATCCTCAATCAGCCACGAACACTTGTTGGTAAGGCACAAGAAACCAGCTAATCAGATATAAGACCAGTATAGGACAAAACTTTGCTGCTGCTGCAACAAGGAACTCACCTCTTCAAAGCTGTCAATCATGAAGAATATGTTGGGGTAGCTGATCTTTGACTCCTCTCCTTTACTGTCCATCGGGTGTTTGCTCGGAGATGCAAACACTTGCTGAGGAAGACACAGAGAAAACACCTCTTCTCAGTTAAATGTCTCAGGGATGGACACACTGAACACAAGGCAAGGAACACCAAAACACCTCAGCCCAGCACTGCTCACTTACACCAGAGGTGCTGGACATCCTGCAAAAGCAAAGCTGGGCTGGTTTCTGCCTACGGCCTGATTTGCAATAACGACCCTTGAGAAATCCTTGGATTTTCACAGGCAGGTTATCTATCAAACACTGCTGGCTCCACAGTAAATGTCCTCCTGTGGAGCTGAACTCTCACCCTCCTAAAGCACAGCTGAGGTACCCCACATTTCAGCACAGAGAAAACCACCCCCAGCTGCCTTCAGGTCACTGCAATGCACTGCAAAAAGCACACACCCAGCAACGGTGACAGTGGAGCAGCTGACCCAACACCCTCCATTTCATTTAATTTAATTGTTATTGTTTGCTTAGTGCCACGCTAGGACCAACCTCCCCCAGGAATGGGAAGTGTGGCCCTCAGGAGGACAAGCATTGGGTTTCTCATCCCCATCTTCTGCTTCTGCTCCTTTCTCTATCCACTGAGCTTCCTCCTGCACACTCCTCCCTCTGTAGCAGTTCCTGAATTCCTTTGGTGACTTCACACCACAAAACGTATTTAAATAGCTAAAGGCTTTAAATGTTATCATTCCAACAAGATTAGCAAGTAGGTAAGGAGGGAGAAGGAATTCATACCAAGCAGCTTTCTTTGCTTTCACCCCTGCTCAAACAGAACTTTGAGTTAAAGAATTCTGTCAAATCTTAGCCCACTGTGGACGTGCTGAAAGCTCTGGATCTGCCCAGGCTGACAGGCTTGTGACACTCCTGCTGCAAACCATTCAACACAAAACACAACTACAGATGGGATATTACAGCATGACAGGGGTGCTTTGCCTTTTCTGTACTTATGAAGCCTACATGCACATTTACATATAGATTATTAAAAAGCAAGGTTGCTTCAAGACCAGAAACAAAAAATGATACTTGCACCAACAATTTATAAGCAGAGTCACAGCAGGGGCCTCTAGGAGTGAGGAACAAAAAACTTCCTCCTCATCCTAGACACTGCTCACATGCAGTGAGGGCATGTCCCTCATCCTCTTCTTCACAGTTTTCAAATCTGCAAATAACATTTACAGATTTTTCTCAAAAAAATTTTGCAGAAGTTAACTGAGGGTGAAACTCGGACTAGTAAAAACTGAAAATAAGCCATGACAAATAACTGGCTTACATCAGCAGGGCAGTGTGGTGTCTCAACAGCACCAGAAGAAGGAAATTATGTGCCTAACCAATGCAAATTACAGAGACAACAATCAGCAGTGCTAGTTTTGTTTGTAGGCAAAATAAAGTTCTTTTAAAATGGTAAAACAAAATTTAGGGATTAAAGAGCACTGGTTTATTTCTGCACAAGCAGCTGCATAAGCTTAGGGAATGGAAATGCCTGGGAAAAAACAGCCTTTGAAAGGCAACAGCAGCTTTTTAAGGAATCTCTGCTAACTAGGAGAAGTTGTTGCCAGATCTGCTGAAAACTGAGGGAAGAAGTCACAGGTTTCCTGTTTCTATCGCCTTCATGCTTGTTATTCAGTGTCCTCCACTGTGCTAAGCCCTGGATTAACTGCACACAAGCAAGTGATTAAAGCCTTTGGTGTGAAGATGGAAGGAATGAGCAGTTTAAGAGAGAAACTGAAAATCTCAAAAAATAATGAGATACATTGGTAACCAGTAAATTGTCCACTGTGTAACAGCTCTACATTACAAATTTATCCTGAAGGCTCATTAAAACTAAAGCTAAACCCAGTTTTAGGTTTAGCCTCAGACTGGGGAACAGCTGGGCATGCTCCCCTCTCCCCAGCACCACCTTCCCTCTCTCCCCCACAAATCCAGCAGGCAATGATACACACCCTGACAGCATGCAGGAATCTTCCCAATTTTGTGAGAGGGGCTATAAAGGACATTTAGATCTCCCATTTAGGTGAGTGGCAAGAAATGTCACTACCCAAGGACCTGAGATGCCTCACAAGGATGCATCTGTCAGAGCACAGCCTGAGAACCACTCCCTGGTTTTGGAGCAGTTTTTAGGACTAGGTAATGCTGGATGCCAACCTCTGATCCACAGCAACAGAAGGGGAAGCTCACCTGAGATTTCTTCTTGTGGATATGAATATCTCCTCCATCGGAGCGTGTGCACACAGCACAGGTCACCACATAGTCCAGCTAAAACAGGGCACCAGGGACAGAAACTGAGGGTTAGAGTTGGGAAAACAAAACCTTCGTGTGCAGGGAGCAGAACACATTCTGTCTTCATTATTTTTTGGCTGTCTAAAAACTAAGACGTTTTGGTATTGCCATTTCCTTTACGATGCTGAACCTCCTACGATTTTCAAGGCTCTGTTTGTTCATCAACCCAGTGACACTGCAATCTCTGCTGCACAAGCCCTGGGTAAGGACACTCCTGCCAATGTTGTTTAGCACGAGCTTCCTGTCAGCTGGGGGAATGAGCAGCACACCCTCCCTTCAGCACACTAAGGCAGAAATGGAAAAGATCTCCCTTCAAAATGGGAAAAAGAGACACAGTAATGAACACAAGTGACATGTTAGAGAGGTCAGAACACACTGACACAGCCTGACAACAACCTGAAAAACCTTGCAAGGACCCAAGTGTCACAGCTCTGGACTGCAAAGCCCAGCTGTAACAGCATCGCTGAACTCTGAGTGTGGCAAATGCATCCTGGTTTTATTGAGCATCAAATTAAAGCAGAAGCTGCTCTCTGCAGAGAAGTTCTGCAATGAGACTTCTGGGAGGAAGGAGGGAGAATGAAAACAATTTGTTTTCCAGGATGTGTGCAATGTCTCCCATTCTGAGATCATAATCAGCAAACTTTTAATGGATCTCGAGTGGCTACAGTAATGTTCAGCTTCCCTAAGCACCAAAATAACATACACAATAACCAAACAACTTAAGAGTTAATTAAAGAAATAATTTGTGCCTCAAGTTTCCACCACCAGAAAAAGAAGTTTTATTAAAGTTCTGATGTCAAGAGCAGCAAACCCCCAGTGTAACACATTGCATTTTCACTTAGCAGTCCCCTCCCCTCTTAGCTGCACCACCGTTGTGAACTCTAATGGAAATATTGCTTGTCTAAAAGTCACTTTCCCTCTAAAAACCTTTAAACTGGACAAAGCCTTCCTTTTGTAAAACTTTGTGACAGAGCATAAAACTCAGTCCATCCTCAATGCTTACAGCTGAAGTTTTCTGAGGAAAATAATAAACATCTCAGTTTCTGTTCACTTAGATTCTGAAAGGCAAAATTAAAGCCAATGTTTCCTTCTATCCTCCAGGAGTGTTCAAATCCTCCAAGCCAGGGAGGAAAGGGGACAGATCAAAGCCTACCCCCAACCCTCTGGAGGACAATTATTAGCCCATGAAAATGAGATGAGCATCACTGTTACCTTCTGCAGGATGAGGTTCAAGTAGACACTCTCTTCCCAGTCAATGTCAGGGTCTCCCAGGCCAGGAAGCTTCTTAGAATCTCTCCGGTAAACTTCCACTTCAACCTGCTAAGGAAATGTCACCTCTCCTTGAGAACTGTTACTTAGAGGCACCTATTTGCAAACAGAAAACTGACACCAGAAGCTGCATGTTGTGGAGCTTCCTAGTTTTCTGTCAGGATCTGATTTTGCTGACTGTGCAAGGCTTTGTGTGGAAATGAATTGGGGAAAAACGTGGGATGTGCAGGAGAACAGAGAAGAAAGGCAGGTCTGTGCAGGAGAACCTCAGTTTTGGACAGCAGCTGCATTTATTCCTTCTAACAGGTTTTAACAAAAATGAAAGTAATAAAGTCATGGATACACAGGGAGTGTCTTCAGGGCTTAGTGAGAAACAGCACTGCAGACACCAAGGTCATCCAGAGCTTTCTTCTTGGGATTATGGCTACTGAAATTTTCATGGGCAGTAACTGCAGAGGACAATGAGAAAAACACCCTCCAAGAGACAATTCTGAGTCCCCTTTCCTGGATCCTGTTAATTATTCAGGAGTTGCACCTGATCCTCCTGGAACAGACTCTGGAGCCCACAGAAAGGCAGGAAAATGCCCAGTAGCCATGGCAACTCCACACCCACCGTAGCTGTAAAGCTGAAACAAAGCCCATTGCAACAGAGACTGTACACTGTGCAAGAGGCCAAGTGCAGCTACAGACAAACCCATCCATTTCAAAACATTTACTTCAGTATTAATTACTTGAATTCTGTGCCCATAGCCACTTTGCATAACCAAAAGGCAAACCAAGAGAAGGAGCACTAAACGATCTGAAAAGATGATTAATTTCTGGTGTCTCTGCATGGAGCAGAACAGCAAGAAGATGTCTCAGACTCCACGGGGTTCACGAGTGGCTACCAACAAACACACTTCTAAACTGAAATGCAAACAAGCATTTTGTCACACTTATCTGTAAATGGGAGACACATTCGGGTCAATAATCCCCACTGGGTTGCAAGAGTAGCTGCAATATTTCCCACTCTGAAGAAGGCAAGTTAGTTAAAGTTTTGCAACAGAAGAACTGGTGAGAAAGAGAACAGGATGGGAAAGCACATTTTGCAACATCTATTGCACGTATTTAGGACTTAGAATAGCAGCAATCACCTCATGTGAACGGGGATTACTGAGCGCTGAAGTTCAAAAGTCAGGCCCCATTTATCGCTAACGAGACAAGAGTAAAAGGCACGCAGGGCCATCTGTACCATCAGCTGGCAGCTAGAAACAGCAGCTTCCTCCATCTGCAAAGACAGAAAACTCTCTCCTGCATCCAGAAAACTGCTTGGCCCCCTCATTTGAGAACACACCAAACATGGGCTTGTTGGATCCTGCATGGCCTTGAGACTGTTTTCTCACTGAATTTTCACTTTCTTTCTTCATTATTACATAGGTTTATCATCAGAAAAATGAGGAGAAAGCAAAAATGTGCCAATCCGAGGTCACACAGGGTGTGGGAATTCTTTGTAACACCCAGTGCGGCTTCTGCTGAATCCCCTCAGCACAATTTGGGATGGAATGTTACATCCATAACACCACACATGGACATGGGAGAAGAAACATTACAGAATGGTAAGAAATCAGAGCGTTGCAAACCATCCCTCTTGACTGCAGAAATGCATAAACTGGGTTATTGACCACAAAATGGGGGGGAAACACCCTGGTGCACAGACTAGACAATTAAGTTTTAATTACTGGTGTTATTAGAGACATGGTTATGCTATTCCAGAGCTCCAACTCAACTGCATATTGATTTCAACACTGAAGCCAGACATTCCCAGACCTCTCATGAGCAGGTTGAGCTGGCTGTCACCCACAGATCAAACACACTGAGTGCTCTGCTCAACTTGTGACCCAATAAGGCTCCCAGGGAGCTCCAAGCAGACCCTTCTACCTTTTCCAGGGTGCAAGCCCAGCCTAGCAGTGCTCTTCTACCCCTAAGCTCCCCAGAGCCTCAGACAGATATGCTGCATTTCTGACACTGAATTATTCATCATAATTCATCACATGGGGAAACTGGGTCTGGGCTTCTTCACCTCCCAGCAAAGTTGCTCTGCGTGGCAGAGAACAAAGCACCTGCTCAGCCACGTGAGTCAGTGCAATTCATATCAAATTCACTTCTGATTCTAGCCTTCTTGTCACCCTCTCTGACTGCTTCAGATGAGTTTCTCAGAGGCTAGAAGAAATATAAAGCAATTCATTAAAAATGCCCCTGCAGCCCACACCCCTTCCCGAGTCTGGAGTGTACTGACTGTGACACCACGAAGGTGTTTCAACTGCACACTTGCTTTGCCTCAGACTGGAATTCACTCTGGAAACAGGGCAGGAGATGAGAACATCACAACCCTGACTGCTGTTAGCCTGCCAGGCGTGTCTCAAGCACAGTCCAGCTCCCAGACAGCTGCATCCAGTTCTGTGTGGGAAGATGTTCCTGCCACAGCAGGGACAGCATCCTTCCCTTGGCTTTTGCCAAGCAGTCTGCCCGAGCACACAGAGCAAGTGGAGACAGCCCTGAGGATCTCAAGGGCCTCTTCCAACCTGATGATTCTATTCTATGATTCTGTAAGTGCACCATGGGCAGAGGCTCTTGGGTAGCAGCTCCTCTATGTTCACCCATTTAGCAAAGGAACACGAGAAAGTAAAGGGATTTCTGGAAAAGAGAAATGCCAAAGGCATTTCTTGCCCTGAAGATGTTCTCCTTCCAGAAAAATCAGAATATCAACCTGGTAATGCCAGGGTTCCTTTATCAGGTCTCACAGTGAAGGCACGGTGTGGGTGCTGTCCCTGTTGTGCAGCAGCCACTGTTGTGCTCTCTGCAACCCCTCCCTGAACTCAGCACCGAGGAAGGGCTGGGGCACAACAGCTGGCTCTGCACTGACCTGCACGTGCTGCCATCACTGCCTGTACCCACTTGCCACCCATGAACGAGGGGAGAATTTATCTGGCCAAGAAGATGCAATTTTTGGCCATTTGTTTCTCTGCTGCATTCAGGTGGCGGTGTGGCACTGCCGTGGATTTAGCTTTGGAAATGGACTGGTGTCCCCCCACAGCCAGTACTTGTGTCACAGGTCCAGATGCACAGGAACATGCAAACCATGGCTCCTGTTCAGTTCTGGTTCTGAAGCTGCAGTCACAACATCTGTAGCTTAGGTTTTTTGAGGACTTAACAGCCCCAATGACCATCCTATGCATTTGGCAGCAACTCTACTCCTCCACATTCACAGGGTGCTGAAGGAAACAGGACCTACTCCAAAATCCAGGCAAGCTCAGAACATATACCAAGGGTGTCTTAAATTGATCTTGTTTATTGCTTTGCCCTACAGATCCAGCACCCTTTTCAGGTGAGCAGGCACGATGAAAGGCTGAAGACAACCCAGCCCTGCTGGTCTGTCACTGAAGCTTTACCTTCATTTCCCAGCTGTCTCTGTAACACCCATGTACTTGCATTTTCCACAGTCTCAGGGCAAAGTAAAGCTGCTCTCTACAGAAAGATAACAAAGCATAATCCTTTATAAACTCCAAAGAAAAAGCCAGAAACATTCCACCTTGACCTAACACCACTTAAAAATCAGAATCCCAAGTCCAACCATGTTAACCTTTCAAAGCTGTAGGTTTAGGCAATGTCCAGGACTCTTTGGAAGTGTGAGGATCAGAGCTTACATTTGCCAGCAGGTCACATCAGTTGACGTGTGAGGCAGCAGCAAAGAGGTTTTTCCATCTTGACTTAATAAACAGCAACAACTCAAAGGGATTCCACCTCACAAAAGCCTACTAAATTCCTTAACCTTGGGAAAAGTTACACTCCACAGTGCCCTGGCCTCCACAGAACCTGACACAGGGGGTCTGTGGTTTTGTTTAAAGGCACTGAGAGAAGAAGTATCTTCAAAACTTGGCAAGAAAAACTGCGAGAGTGTTACTGCAACATGCCAAGGAAACACGGAACTGATGCCCTTCTCTGGGATCCAGAGTGTGCAATGGAGACAGGCCAGAACTGGAGATGGCAGTTCTGCACTGGCATTCACATATTAGGAGCTTAATTGCTGTTTCACCCATATATGCTCAGTTTAGAAATTGGTGGGATGGAAAAAGAGAAGCAAATGGAAAGTCCCTTGGACCAGCAGGTCTGCAAAGCAGAAATTTAAAAGGCCTTTTAAAATGAAATTTAGAATGGTAGAGAAGTTCACCATCAGCACCTACTGACATACCAAATGGTACCAAATCACAATTTATTGCTTCAAGCTGTTGTGACTAAGCTGAATCCAAAGCCCTTCTCATTCAGTCTTAAAACTGAACAGAGCTTCTAATCTTGATCCTACCAGGTTTTTCCCTGTTTCTCCTCTATTGTACTTCAACTTAAAATCAAATGTTACTGCTGACACTCTTAAGCTCCAGAAAGCACAGAAAAAAAACCCCTGTAGAACTGGAACTGCTTTAAGTCATACAGGACAAAACCTGAAAACCCTGGATGAATGGATATTTGTTTCACAGTGACACAGCCCATCACACCAGGGCATGCAGATGATGTGAACACACCACGTGAGTGTGTCCTCCAGGGAACAAACACCACCACTGTCAGCACTCACACAAACAGCCAGAACACTCTGGTGGGTGGCAGGGAGGCTCACAGTTCTATTTGGCTTCCACAGGTACCAGTCTCTTGTTCCCTCCTCTTTCATGATAGGGCTTTTGCTATTTTGACATCATCGTTCAAGAAAGAATGTCCAAAACTACAAAGTAAAATAAAAACCCATGCAGTCATAATTCAAAGAGTAGGAGTAGTTTTTTGGTGTCTTACTGCGCTGGACAGGCTCAAAAATCAGGTAAAAGAGGAGTTGGAACTGCAAAGCAGTCAGCTAAAATCAAACAGGAGCAAGGCTGCACAGGTACCAAAGAGTCACCAACTATGAAGTTTCACAAAGCACCTGAAGTACTTCAAAGTCACTGGAAAGGTTCAATTCTCAGAGGTCAAGCAAAATGCCAGCAGCCAAGGGGAGTTACAAAATGCTGTGTGTTCTACGAGGCCCACTCCCCAGCCCAGCTGTTACAGCAGGCAGCTATAATGCTGATTTTGCAGTAACTACCACTTATGAAACCTCCTCACAAATAAAAATTATTTATGGTGCTTTTAGGAGGCTTCAGTAAAGCTCTGAGAGCAAATGCAAGGCTTTATGTCACCGAATCCTCTCCACAAGAGGTTCAAACACTTGAAGCTGATGAATGTGTTAAACAGAGATTGATCAGGGGTCTGTGAATGGATTTACCTTGCTTCTGTTTCCCCCACCTAAGATGAAAACTGCCACAGAATGCTGGGCAGTTGCTCAGATCTCCAGAGGGGAAATACCTGTGCAGCAGCTCGAGGATACCTGATTATGTGTTTGCAAGGAGCAGTAGTTTTCTAGGAGGGCGTGTCATCAGTGTAGATGATGAGAATACAGTATTTTCTCCAGTGTTTGTCACTGCTGCATCCCAGCTCCAGGAGGTTGTTTGTACTCTGCTACTGAGTACCCAACAGGTGTTAATTCCTGATACTCAGGCTGGGTTCTTCTAGGAATATGAGTGACCATCTTCCTTCTCCTTTTTCCTCCCTTTCTACAGATTTACACTTCAAATTTATAAAGCATCACCCATCAAAAAACAAAACCAAGTCAAATCCCCCAAAAAGCAAGCAAACTTTCTGCCTTCCCCCAGTCTGTGACAGTGCAGGTCCCTCACATGCTGCTGGTGTTCACAGCATTAACCACAGTACTTCCTCCTCAGTCACTTTGCGTAACACCATATAGTGGGCAGAGCTGGAGGCTCCTTATCCTTGGTTTGTAGTTCTTCAGATGTGTCAGGCACTCCTCAGCACCAAATCCCACTCCAGGCTAAGCTTTCCCACGTTCAAACACGTCCCTGCTCACCTTTTTGCCGTCCGTGCTCTCCCCGCCAGCGTAGGACAGCTTCCTGCGGACGTAGAAGAGCATGTCGTCCTGCCGGGGGGCCCATTTCTCCATGAAATACGTGGAGAACATCCACGTCCAGAACACAATTCGGTCATCTTTGAAACATCCTGGGAGGCACAAAAGAAAGGAGAGGTAAGAGCTGTGGAATCAGCAGGTCACCCAAAAGTCTTTGCCACACGGGCTGCAGCTGAGCTCAGCTGTACCTGCAAGTTCCTGACCATCATTTCCTCAAGGAAATGATGAATTCCCAAGTGATGGATCCCCTTGAATCTTGAGAATTACCCAAAAAAAAAAAAAGGCAGGAAAAGAGGAAAGAGGGAGAAGCAACAAAGCCTTGTTCAAGGAGACAAATGACATCAGCAATAGCACCACGCTTGGCCTCTCCCCAGGAAAAGGAGGCACAGGAGAGCTGACATCTCATTTTGTGGAACTCTTCAAAGCACTTCACTGCAATGAAACAGCAAAAGGTGCCACACCTCTTCTGTGCCCTAATGCTCATGAATTGTTAAAGGTAAGAAGAGAAGTGTAACTCAGCACACCGTCCTACTCCACTCTGTGCGTTATTTGCCCAACAAATCTTTCTTCCAATCTTTAATTACTGTGCTGGGCAGGAGATTTGACTTTCAGATTTTTTAGCAGACAAAAGGGTGACTGAAAGCAAAATATTAGGTCTCTCCAACCAAATCAAAATGTAATATTGAAAGCAAAATGAAATCCCACTGATGGACTGTGCACAGAATATGTTAATCAACATCAAGCAGGATGGTATTTGAAAATATGTATATGGTTGATTATATTAAAAAAACACATGAAAAGGCTGAGAGAGAACAGCAAAGGGCCACGGTAGTCAGTTCCCAGTGCAGGTTAATTCCAGGCCACACTGCAATTACTTCATTTGCATGGCTGCAGTGAAGCAATTTCAATTACTTAAGGCAGCAGAGAACATAATGTGCAATCCTGAATAAAACCTCCACTAAACACCTGAGTACTTAAGTGCTATCTGTTTTTTCCAGCAGAGAAATGGAATCAAACACTGGATGGGATCAGATCCAGGATGCTGGGCACCTGCATCAGGAGATCCCCTCCTTTGGGCACAGGTGAACAGGACTGCACAGCAAACAGCTACACCTGAGAGCCCACCAGGCAAGGGTGGATTCCAGCGTGTTCAGACTCCCAAAATCAGGATTATCAGTGGTCAGAATATTCACTAATGGGCTCAAAGACACTTATAAAATCCCACGGGGTTTGAGCACCTGGATTCCCAGCCTTAATTACATGAGGAGCAGAGAGGAAAGGGGGAAACAGGATTGCCCCAAGTTCATGTGAGGTTCTGAGAACACCAAAACAAAAACAAATAAACAAAAAGAATGTACATTCTCTAAGACCCATCTCTGAAAATGCTCTGGTGTTCAGAAGTATAATGCTTTGGGTTTCTTTCATACACAAGGAAACAAAATTACTCTAGCTAAGCCACTCCTAAATTTATAATGCAAAAATCAAGATCTAACTCTGGCATTATAAACAAGGGTTAGACCACTCCCAGATTTTGACAGTACCTGCAAAACTCTGGGAAGCTGCCCACGAGCAGCTGACGCATCAGGTGTGTTTTAGGCCCTTAAGCACAGGGGTGAACACGCTCACCTGAGCTACTCATGGGTGGTTACAGCAGAGAACCCACACTTGGAGGGGAACAGGCCCCAGGACTTTGTGTGGGCTTTCACCCCTGCTGGGGAAAGCAGGGTAAACTGATTCCAGGGATTCAGCCTGGGTCTGAACAGAAAACCTGGGGACAGAAGTGCTGCAGCAGTGAAGCTGCTCCAGCACTGCAGCACAATGCAGGGGAAAGAACCCTGGGAGCCACGCGGGATGTTTGTCAATCCAACCCAGCCGAGGAGATGCAGGGATCCAACCTCAGGGATACTTGCAGACACTGCTGTAATTAAAAGCAGCCCGAGGATGCTCTGACTGTTGCGACTGCAGTGGCTTAAGGACTTGTCTTGGAGCCAAAAAGAGCCAAATCACAGCAAAGCAGCTGCTTTTATTCAATTCTAGTAGAAGCAGAGAGGATGTGCAACAGCACACACGGAGAATCAGCCTTAAAAACCTCCTATGAAATAGCATTAGCTTGGAAAGGAGACAACATTTTTATTTGTGACTGGAACTTCTTAAAACTTGAGAGGGGGAAAAAATATATTCCAATTTCAAACCTTAAACTGTGCGATTTCTTAGGAAGATCCAGTATGTCCACTCAGGAAGGCCTCCAACTCTACATTTACATCCCCACATTACAGTAATTTTGGTGGTTTACAGCATCTCACTGGAAACCTTCCAGCTTTTCCAAGAAGAAACTTGGAAACACCCATAGCTGAGAGCATGCAGCAAGTCAGCTTCCTGAAAACACTCCTCCCCTAGCAAATCCTGCTTCTAATGGAATAAAACGGAATTAAGAGTCCAGACTATAAATCTTAATTCACCAAAAGTTGATTATATAATTATGAGACCTTTGTCATGAATAAATCCTAATTACAACAATTTACTGTAATTATTCATTTACATGAATTTTATCCTCATTAGAAGCAAATTTATGCCAACTGCTATGTAATAAATGTCTTTCTTTTACCTATTAGATTCCTATACTGAGCATTCATTTCGGGGAACTGACTCCAGACCCATGTAAGTAATTGTGATTTTTTTTTTTAATTAATGCTTTCCAAAAAAATCAGTGGATAAAGAGAAGTGTCAGGATATTATTTTGCTTCAAAGGAATAGAAGAAAAGATTTCCTGTTCAGTGCATAATCATTTTTTCAGCACATACCACTCAAAGCTCAGAGGAACAGTAATTTCAGCTAGACAGGGTTTCCTCCTATGCTTTTATTCCTCCAGCCTGCTACTCTTCACTGTGGAGCATCATAAAACTCATTTCATCCAATGCTGCCACAGTGCAAGTGTGATCATCTGTGAAATGAGCATCCTTAGATGTTTAGGGGTTAATTAAATGCTTTAAAGATCTTTACAGCCCCAGCATGGAGAGGAAACAGAGTTCTAAGCAATTCACACTGTACTTCATTTTTGTTTTGAGTTCAGCCAAGTGTTCTGCAAGGACAATATGAGAAGTGCTTCACCCAGATTAAAGCTACCTTTGATGTTATAAAGCTGTAATTATGACTGCATAAAATCAGGATGGATGTTCCCTGTCCAGTGAATAGTTACCAGCCAACCAGATCTTCAGAAACCCAAAGTTCAGGCTTCTTCCCACCCTTACAGGGACACCATTCAGTGCCTTCAGTCTGACCTTACAGCAGCAGGACTTGGGTGCGCTTGAGAAGCACACTGGCAGCCCCCAGCTGGAGGGCAGGTAACCCAGAGGGAATGGCTGAGCACACAGAGCATAGCCCTGCAGCTCCTTCCTCTCTCCAAAATCCCGGGGCTGGGAAAGGAGCAGCTTCTGCAAGCACGCGAGGCCTAAATCTGTCAGGAAACACAACATGCACTTCCAACGTAACTTCTGCTGGCAGAACTCTCGCTAGAAAAGGAAGGCAGGCATCATGGTCACAGCAGGGACAGTGGCGAGACAGATGCCACAGATTAAACACCCCACTCTGCTGCAGACACAACCCTCCTCCCCACCCTGAAGGGAACTGTTCTCCTACCCCATGAGTGTGGCAGGCACACTCTCCATGCAATATGAAAAAGACTCAATATTATCCCAGCCAGGGAAACTTGGGTTCTCTAGCTCATATGCTTATCCAGGAAACAGGGGAAGCTGAGCCAAGAAATCCATAAAAGGGTGTGGAACCTGGCTGCAAGCAAGCAAGGACTGATTTCAAGGAAATGCACACCTGCACACGGGGCTCTCAAGCTGTGCAGGCACAAATTCAGGAATTCATCTCACTGTGTCTGTCATATCTCCCCAGGTTTGTGGCTGGACACCACATAAATGGTCTGGAGAGGAAGACAATGACAAGAAGGTCCCCCTCCTTTCCTAATTAAAGGGAGGAATCACTCAGCCCCGCTTCCTCCACTTCAGTCTGGGAAGAGGAGCTGCTTCCCCCTCTCCCCAACAGCTTTAGAGCCTAAAGAAGCCCATGGAGGTGAGGAGAAAAGAGAGCAGCAGCAATCTGGCTACCACAAAGTAGCTAAATTCAGATAAATGAGAACTGCAAAGTATGAAACTGCAGGAGAAATATTTTTAATTCTTTCTGTATGACACCTTACCTACTGAAATGCTGTTACAGGGCACTTTTGATGAGGCAGTCCCTTGGAGAATACTATCCTTTTAATTCCAAGGGATACAAAACCAGCATGTAAGAGCTGTGAGTCAAGCACAAAGGCTGTTTATCCCAGTCTCATGCCTTAAACAGCCCGCACTGGAGAAGGGCAGGGAGGAGCAGAGTGTGTTACCCTTCTCCCCAGTTCCCTCCCAGCTCCCAGTGCTTCTGTCCCAGAGACCTGTGCACGTGGTAGCTCCCACTGGAGCTCTGTTCTATTCACCTGCTCATCACCTCCTTGGACCCACATAAACCTTCAAAACCTACAACTGATTGAGACCACAAACCCTACAGCTTTTACCACACATCAGGTGGTTTGTTTGGTTTGTGAGCTTTTTTTGGGGGGTTGGTTTTTTTGCCTATCAATTTCCAACTTTAAGCGATGGCTTTATTCACAGAAAGACACAGTGAGCAGCTCCTGCCCACGCACTGCATTCACACCACCCACTCCACAAGCATCTATGGCACACAACATCCCTTTTCCAGGCTGGGAAGGCCTACTCTACCAGCTAAGCATCCCCTGAACAGAACCCATCCCCACAGCACCTCCACTGCCCTCCTCTGAGCCTTTTCAAGTCTATTCTATTAAAGATGAGCACACCCCCTGGAAACTTTCTGTGGCAAAACACTGATTTCCACCCTTTCCCTCAGAAGGTCTAACACCTGATGTCCTCCTTCAGCTGCATTAAACAGAGGAAATGATTACAGCTCCCAAACCAGGTGATACCAACTTGCTCTTGTGATGACGTTTGTAAATCAGCCAAACCCAGTAGCAGAAACATGTCTTTACACAAAACTGTTTCTTCTTCTTCTTCCCTGATCTGTTCCCAGAACACCA